GCAATAAATATTCTGGTACACATCGCTAGCTCTTTGAGTTGATGATTTCATATCCTTCAGATAGTTACCCAAAGTTGGATTACTGGATTATAAGGTAGTTCTATTTTTAGGAGGTTTTTTAATACTTAAAATGGGTAGGCTTACTAAAGAAGGAAAGGAGAAGATGTTTACACAGACACAAGTGAAAAGAAAGAGCTGTTCTGTTCTTTGAGGAAAGTCCATAACAATTTCTAAAATGGATACACCAATTTACATTCTTCCGTGGAAGCACAGAATCTGCAATTTTTAAAGTAGTTTATGATTTTGATGATCACCTTGGTTTGGACATGGTAGGCAAAAACTGGTAACTGAAACTAAATGAAATCAATTAAAACTTATGAAAGGTTGAAGTAAAAAGTATACAATGAAGAAGCAGAAGCAGTATTACTAATGACTAAAAGGATATGTATGCACAAAATATCTATGCATTTTTATTCATATGAGTCATGTTTAAAACATGAATGCCAAGTGATGACCTTCTAAAATTACCTAGTAATGCTGTTTAAAAAAAAATGATGTTGTTACTCTTGTGTTTCATGGACCATACTTTAAGTAGCAAGGTCATTGATGATATGTTTATTGAAGACAGGGTACTTTTGTTATAGTCTTTTGATGTTACTTCTAGCTCCTATAAAAATCCCTAGCAGGCCTTTCCTGGTGGCACAACAGGTTAGGACGCAGCACTGCAAGCTAGCCACAGGACTTCAGTGAGAGTTCCATCACTGGCTCCAGAGAGGTGATTCACATGTTTCACTGGCTGCTCCCCTCAGCAGTGTATTTCATCAGTCTACCTGTACTGCTCCCCACTCTGTCTCTGGTGAATCTTCTCGCCACCCCTGCACCTCTGGCCTGTACTCCAGTTCTGTATGCATAAGTAAATAAAGCTTAAAAATAATTCCTAACACACAGTAGATACTCAGCATGAGTTTGTTGAATGATAAACCACTCTGTCCTCCAAGAGGAATAACCCAGTCTGACTAAGGCCCTATGTTTTTGTTTTCCCTAAAATTTATGTATAGATATGATACATTCACATTGGTATTTGTAATAGTATACTGAAGTAGAGTTTTTCTTATTAGTTTCTTCTTTCTTTTTACTAATGACAATTTTTTAAGGGCTATATAATTGTCTACATTTCTTATTATCTATGAAAGTGCTGCGAATATAAAAAGGCACTTATGAAACGTTTGCTAAATGAATAACTGAGTTGAAAATGCAAAGCTTTTTATCCCCCAAAACTGCAATTGATCTCCCACTGACATGTTTATCTCCAACTTCAAGCATGACCACATATTCTCAGCAGAAAGGAGGAGGATGACGTGCTTATTGAAGATGAGAGGAATAGGTGTCTTGAAGGGTACAACCCAGTGCAGAAAATAGCAAACATTGTCATCCTCAGATCACACACAAATGAGGAAATGTCCCTACAGAAGTAGACACAATACATAGGCAATAATTTTCAACTGGTGCTTTTTGTCATGAAGGGCAGCTGCTTTGCCAGGTCAAGATTTATTTATTTATTTTTATTTTATTTTTGGCCACATTTAAGGTCATCGTACATCGTACCTTCCCAGATTTGGCACTGAATTTAAAGTCTGGCAATGCTGGCTTCTTAAAGTGGATTAACTTTAAGGTGGGCCCAACAGAAAGCCTGTACCCTGGATGCATTCCCAATTTTTATAGCTTAAAGCCCTGATGATATTTCTCTGAGGACAACCACTTTTTAAAGTCCCTCTTTAGATGAGTATACCTTTCTGATGTTTTAGCCTTGTACACTATTTCATACACTATGGTTCCTGCTCTGCTTGTCATTATCACCTTAAGTGTATTCTGGTAGAAAAGATATAGATTACCTGTGAGGAAAGTCCCAAATAGATTTAGTTCTAAGTGTAAAACACACACACACACAAAGGAATGAATGGATCTCTATTTTAAAAATGCTTGAATTACATGAAACTCCATTTTTATTTTCCCTATCAGTTCCTTCAAACTGCTTAAATTCACATCCCTTTCATGTAAAATGGGGTTCTATTAAAAGGCTCTCTAAACTTCTTCTAGGAAAGCAATGAGCTAAGCATACAAGTCAGAGCCGATAATTGTGCACACAACACCTTCTACTCTGTCTTAATATCAATTTGAACCCCATAAACTTGTTTACTTCAAACAAAGGGTTTGGACACAGTTTTTGTGTATACAGAGACCAAAGAAAGGAAGCAATTATGGAAATTATAATGTTCATTTCCAGATGCAGTATAAGAAAAGAGAGGGTGTTCTGAACTCTCCCTTGAGAAAGGTGGACAGTGGTTAAGAAATTTTCTTGCTTATTCTACCAATTATTAGGTAGGCATATTTCACTGTTTAACACACTGGCATGGTGAAATATAAAGAGAAGTGAAAAGGTGACCAGAAGGCTTGGGGTCTTTTAAACTCTCTTGCACCCATGCTCTCTCTTTATATACATATGTATGTACGTATGTATGTGTGTGTATGTGTGTATATACATGTATATACACACATACAGATAAATTTGTTTTTCTATAAACTGTGTCACATATATATATAAATACACACAGAAATCTGTGTTTACCTAGATCTATAATTATAGTTATATGTAAATATAGAAATATTGATTTACATAAACTATGTATTGAATATAGATCTCTAAGTGTAGATGAGAAAGTATAGATGAGAAAGATTTTAAATTTACATAGCATTTTTTGTACTGCTAGGATAAGATTCCTTAATGGACAATCTAGCCTGCTTTACATGAATAGCCATCTTCTCTGGTTTTTCTGTTGTTTTGAACAACTCATATAATATTTCATTTTGATACCATTTTTAAGTGGAAGGGGTGTGAATTTTAAAACATCTTTCCAAACCTTCCTGTAATTTTTCTTTCAGAGAACCCATCACCAGGAAAGCCAGACTCAATCTACCCAAGGGCCCCTTGACTCCAGTGAAAGATACCTTTCCTGGGAAAGTCTGGGAAACAAGAAGCCTGGACCCCTCCTTGCAATTGGACTTCCAGCTGCTCCATCTGAAAACGTAATTCTTTGAGACCCTCCCAACCTCCGCATTCCCTGCTTCCAACCAGAGTCTTGGGAAGTTAGCATTGGAAATGACCCAAGGGAATCATACTCTCTTTCATCGAGGAGAGAAACGGGAGTGGCAGTGACTTGTCAAGCAACCATCCCGGACAGAGAAATATCGCAGCGGGGCTGGCCTTGTTCCTCGGGCCCTAGTCCCCTTCCCCCCACACACACCCCCCACCCACCCACCCACCCTGCTCGCGAGGGCACCGTCCTAGCATTAGCCCCAGCACCACAATGCTCTGACGTCTGTCTCCAGTGCTCTGACGATCGTTCTCGTCGGCCACCCTTACAAAGGGGACTTTTGCCAATATTCGGATCGATTGTCACCTCGACCGGCGCCGCGAACCCTCGGCGGGTGCCCACACCTGTGAACTCCGCGTCCGCCCAGATTCTCTGAGATCCGGAGACTTAGAGCCTACAGTACCTGCCCCGGGTACCTCTGCACCTCGGACCCACCCTCTCCCACTGCACCTTTGCAGCCCACCACCTTCACAGTTCCCTGGGCGGCGGTCACAGCAGAAGCCCAAGCTCAGGAGCGCCTTCCGCGCCGCAGCCCTTCAGGTACGAGCGGAGCGGGCTCCGGGCGCGTCGGGTCCGCTTGCTAGCGGATGGGTGGGCTGCAGCCCGGCATTTTTACAGCAGAGAGATGCGGTTCTTTGCCTCTCCGTGGGGGTCCTCACTCTGGCACTAGTGATTCTCTCTAGGGGTGATAACGGTTGGAAAGTCTGGGACATGAGGGACAAAGTCTGGGCTCCAGAGATGGGCGGAGGGAGCCTGCAGGAGGAACATCTGGGGGACCGGCTGTGGCCTAAGAAAGAACTTCCCTGTTGGGGTGCTCACAAAGGAAGGGCTCACCCAGATCATCTTGCTTGTTTTGCTTCTCTGGAAACAGAGGGAGGCTGGTTCTTTCAGACTAAGGTCTGTTACCCACCTGCCTGCACAAATACCTGAATCCCTCCCCCCAACTTGTTTGTCTTGGGGTGTATAAGATAGCTATGATCACGAAGAGGAAAAAAAAAAAGCAGAAAAACGAATTCCAGAAAGTTAAGCCTTTACGTACCTATCTTCTAAGTCTTCTTTTTAATACCTTTGACCCTCTTTTATGTTTTTCAGGGACAATGTATTTTTAAATTGTTTTCTTGTATCTACTATTAAGGGATGTGGGAGAGTTGAAAGGAAGAAAGACAATAGATGGAAAGAAGAGTTGATTAAGAGGGTGGACCTTTTCACAACACGATATTGTTAGTAGCTACAGCAACTTGAACCACAGGCACTTGTTGAAAATTAGAATTGATGTGGTTTTGAAATTGATTTTCCTAAATATTTTTTTAGATATTGCGTGCCATATTACTTTCAGAATCGTTCACTGAAACTGTCTGAAATAAGGGATGGAAGGATGAATGAATGTTAGAATTTTCAGAGTAGTCTTTTATGAGACACATATTACTGAATAATTTTAGATGGACTTATAAATTATTTCCAGAAAACAAAAATATATATACTCTGATTTTCTGACTCAGTTACTAAGCTAAAATACAAGATAAGGTTAATTCCAAATTGAGATAATAAACACAAAATTATTGTGGTTGTTTTAAACAGCATTTCCTTTTTCTACTTCTTTAAACATCAACAATGCTAAATTGTTAAACAGAAATAGAATGATACTATGGACCCTTGTAGGTAACTACTGGTTTAACATGTGGTTTCAATGTATTTGTTCTTTAAATGGCACAGGATTTCCCATGAGCCAGTTGGTTTATCCCTGGCTACCTATGTATGCTTGGCTGTTTTTATAATGCAATAATGTATTTTCTTCAGAAGTCTTAATGAAGTAGCCAGCTGCAGAACAATCCTGATCCTTAGATCAAAATGGCTTTCCATGTGGAAGGACTGATAGCAATCATCATATTTTACCTTCTAATATTGCTGGTTGGAATATGGGCTGCCTGGAAAACCAAGAACAGTGGCAATGCAGAAGAGCGCAGCGAAGCCATAATAGTTGGTGGCCGAGACATTGGTCTGCTGGTGGGTGGCTTCACCATGACAGGTAGGTTAAGATGCTGCCCACTCCCTGCATTCCACCCTTCTTTAGCTGCTTAGAGTGACAAAGCAAATGTTACTCTTTGGCACTTAAGGATTCTTTATGGCCAGTGCTTGTATTTTTAATTTAATTTTTATTTAACTTTTTTGAAACAAAAATAAAATTGTTTCCACTCAGTACTTGAACAAGATGATTTTATATTAAATCACTGTACAGAATACCAGTGAAACAAATCCAGCTATCTGGACTGGTCAATCTGTAGAAGCAGAGTAAAAAGAAAGGGAAATGTACAAAAGCCTGTAGTGTTACAAGTTACTCATTCCATTAATTAATACGATAGTCAGTATTATATCATGTTCATTAATATAGGCATTAAGTTGTGGCTTTGAGTTGCCTTAAATGATGAATGTCAATGAATACCAAATGATTTTAAATCTGACTAAACTGATTTAGAAGCAACACGATTTCAAATTGATCAATGGCCTGTGTTGAAACCTAATTCTCCCACTTAATAAACTAATTTCCTTATAGGTAGACAAACACATTTTATGGAATCCACAGTAATGGGGGGAAAAGCAAATTGCCAGGAACATGGATATGAAAGAAAAATGCTAGGGTGTGTCCGAACAGAAATCCCTCAGCCACCATTTTCAGTCTTCTCCCTTTTAAACCTCTGTGGCTAGGAAGAGCCAATATATCTGTCCTCCTAAGTCCAGAAGTTCTGTTTAAACTGAGTTTTTATATTTTATATTCCTCTTCATCATTGAGAATTATGTTTTAAATATTGATATGTATTCAATTTAATGTTAATTTATTTTAGAGTCTCCATAGGATTTTAGACATTAGCAACATAATCCATTCTAACAGGAATTCGGAATGTCCATTGGATACGGAATCCCACTAGAAATGACATCAAAATGATGCCCAGCTTCATTCCAGAGGGCTATTTTACAATATCCCACTCACTATATCAAATAGTTTACTAAGCCAACCTGTGACGACTGCATCGTTTCACGATCTGAGACCTACAACATCCTAGAAAAATTTATGGACTATAGATATGATCTTTTCAGATATTCATTTTTCATGTTTGTTTAACTCTTTGCCAACTATACATTGTTTCATTTGATTTTTATGACATTATAAAAGAGCTTTGGGATAAGCAGGGATCAGAGCTACCAAGTTAACATGGACCAGAGTCAAGGCCAAGCCCAGATTTTCTGGCAGCTGCTCCCTATGTGCCACATGCCAGCCTTTAGCATTTCTTCTATTACTTCTTTATAAAGGTCTAGTTTGCAAAGACATCTTTTATAATTTTCCATTTCTCATTTTTTATGATTACATACATATATAGAACAATTTATACTGTACGAAATACTTTCTATGATGCATAATATACAAAAGTAAATACAAAGAATAAGAATCATTCAGAAACCTATCTGCACATAAGTTTATTGAAATGTTGTTATATTTTTCTTTTCTTTTCTCTCCTTGATGAACAGTATATATAATTTTATATTATCATTTTTTTTTATAATAGCACAGTTATTTCTTCATTTCCCAAAAGATCTAGAGGTGATGCTGGTATCTGAAGTGTATAAAAATATTGTGATCACATTCCCTTTAGGTTCCTCTTATTACAAGTAAAATGAGAAGAAAATAAAACCATAAAAGTTCTGATGTTACTCAGAGGACTGATAAAAAGAATAAATGGCAGTTGAATATAAACATATTTTGTTCACTGTAAATTACTATAATGTTCTGTTGTTCTAGGTTAATGTTACATTTCTTATGTTCAGTGTTCAGAATGATAATATCTCTTTTTAAAACAAAGTCAAAAAGAGATATATTTTTAATCATCTAGTATAATCGTTTAAGTAACAGGTTATTAAAATGTGTAGAAAACTTTTAATTATATTTTTGTAGTGTGGTCAATATCAGTTTTCAAGGACTTTTTTTCCTCTCAGAACTGTCAAGAACCTTAATCAATATCATAATTCATTTAAAATTTGAATGTTTTTATCTAAACTTTATCAGACTCATTGTATATATATTTTTTATTTTTGCATAGAAGAACTGGAGTGTAGCCCAGAGGGATGGGGTATGAGAGGACTCAGTAGAGACAGAGTGAGGAGCAGAACAGGTGGCACTACTAAAATACACTGTGGAGGGGACCAGGGGGGAGACCGAAGAGACTGCGCCATGTGGGTTAGCTGCCTGACTTGGGGATATGGTCAAACTTGGTCACAGTGACTGGGGGTAGCTTGGTAGTGCTAAGACTTTAACCCCTGTACCACTAGGGAGAACCTTACATATATTTTATAAATAATAGGTTGAAAATAAAAATGCACAAAGAGAATAGATGGGTAAAAAAGGAACTATGTTTAATCATAATTAGTAGTCGTGTCTTCACTTCTATATTTGTAATCACTTGGACACCAGGTATCTTATTGAATTGAGAAAGGAGACCTACATCATAAAAAATTATTGCCAAAAAAAAAATTATTGACAAATAAGCTTTGTGCTTGTAAGACCATCAGACTGTTTATCTTGTACAATGAAACATTCTGGTGTAACTGGTACTAGTCCAGCTGCCTTCCAGGAAGATCAGGCCTCAGATTCTGTGCCTATAGGATTCATGTCTTCTAGCTACCAAGTGGAGGGAGACTCATTAAAATTTCAGCGGCGCTTAAAATAATAAAAGCAAATAATAGCATTTACTATTTGTCACACCCATGTAAAAACTAGCATGTGGATCAGTGTAGCTCCTGTGTATGTATTCAGCAATTTTAGGATTTTGTACAGAAACTTTCCTTATAAATGTATTTATAAAATCCCTTTGCAAGAAACTCCTTTTGTATTAATCTTTCAAAAATAGTATGACTCAAAAACATTTTCTGTTTTTTGATTTGTGTTTGAATTAAAAGTCAGATACATTGTGGTTTGAACACAACAAAAAAGAACTTGTCATCGATAGTTTTGTAGACTTTTACTTATTTTACTGACATTCTGTGATATCTTAGAGCATTTTTCAGTCAATTATTTCCCAAATGGTTCATACATTCTAGAATCCTCATGTCTGATGTTTCTTGCCCAATTCCATTCTTCATACTTTTGAGTATTTTTAAGTGTGTTAATATAGCCTTAAAAAGATATAAACTGTAAAGATTTAAGCATTCTGTTAGCCTTTTTTTTTTTTTTTAGCAAGAATCAAATATTATATTGTCTTCTCAGGGAAAATGGTAGCTTTTAGATTCTTTTATTCAAAATTACTTAAGAAAAATGTATATCCTTTACCTCCCTTGTGGAGCTATTATGTTACAGAAAAAAAATAATTATAACTGAAGAAGACATACTTGTTATTCTATAAGAGAATATCTTACTAAGAGACTCAGATCAGAAAACAAATTCAAGCTGATATGTAGTCAACAATTTAAACTCTTCTTAGAGCTCATGCAGACCCTAAATGCCCATTAGCTGTTTGGGAAGAAGAAATAATTTAAAGACTTATTAAATACCCTGAGGAAAAAAATATATATTATCATCTTTCCTTCCTTCTCTCTCTTAGGAATTTAAGACAGCAAGTGTGACTTAGTTATGGTACAGAATAGATTTGCCAGAATCTGATATATTCAGAATGCTTAAGAGTGACGCTAATGAAAAGCACATACATTCATGGCCACTAATACACATGCACATACACACACACACACACATCAAACATCACTTCTTGAAGGAAATAGCCATAATGAGTGTAAAAAGAACAATGGAAACAAATAGGAAGGTTTGGGCCTCCCTGGTGGCTTAGGGGTTAAGTCTGAACACCCTGCCATCATGAAGGCCCACCCCAATGGCCTGAGTCCAATCCCACAGCAGACCTCTCCTTAGTACCCGCTGCCCCCCTCATCAGTGTATTTCAGTAGATCTGCCTGTTCTGCTCCCCATTCTGTCTTCAGTGAATCCTCTCACCCCTTGTACCTCTGGCTTGTACCCCAGTCCCTCTATGCAAAATAAATAATAAACTTACAACAAATGAATAATTCATTAAAAAAAAGCCAGGAAAGTCTTAAAATAACACATTTGACCCCATGTTATGGAGGCTGAAAATACTATTGAGGATAGAAATAGTCATATATATGTTGTATTGATATCAGACTATAATACATACATACATATACATATACATGTGATATATATATACATATACATATATATGTGATATATATATATATACATCCTTAAAATTATTCATGATTAAATGAATGTACAAAACATCTGGATCAACACTGTCCAACAGAAATATATGAACCCTAAATGCAATGTTATACATTTTCTATAAGCCATTTTTAAAAAATAAAAGAAAAAGATTAATTGATGTAAATAGTAGAATTATTTAGCTCAATACATTGGAAGTGTTTTCATTTCACCATGTAGTCAATAAAAAAACTGTTATTAAGACATTTTACATTTACTTTCCTCAATAAGTCTTTGAAACCCAGTGTGTATTTTAAACTCACGGGCTATCTCAATCCAGACTACAGAGCCCCATTTCTGTGCTCAGTGTTTACACCAGACGCTGTGTTTAACTGTGCTTAGAGTATGAGAACATGATAGTGTCTTTCCCTCACTCTTCATTCTGTTTCAGCCACTTGGGTTGGAGGTGGTTACATCAACGGAACAGCTGAAGCAGTGTATGTACCAGGCCATGGCCTAGCTTGGGCTCAGGCACCAATAGGATATGCTCTTAGCCTGGTTTTAGGTAAGTGAAACTTCAAAACTTAGTGACCATTCAGTGAAACTTAAAAATTCAGAGTATAAGTAATGAATGAAATAACAATAAACAATGTGCATAACTATTCTGGAGAATTGTTACCAGAAATCTCTCAGTAGTAGAATACAATTGCTTAGATTAATTGATTTCTTAATTATGGAATATGTTTTTTTAAAAAAAAAAAAAGGATGAGACAGCCTCTTGGTTTTTATAACTTTCAAAGCAGTGAATTTCTTAACATTTTTTCTTTCAAAAATAATATAGCATTAAAAATGAATCTATTTGATTGTACCAAAGTTTCATTTTTCAAGTCAAACTAAAAAAGAATACTGAATATTAAATAACAAAGTTCCTAATTATTTTTTGCACTCAAAGTACTTTTACTATGTTGTGTTTATTTAAAATGACTGAATCTATACTGAGAGACAAATGTATGAAGACATTTTACAATGTATTATTACTTTTCAAAGTTTATTTCTAATTAAGGTAATATTTGGATACCCCCAGCTGGTATTGCCAACATAGTACAACCACTATCAAATATAGAACACAACCTGCTACCATAGTCTATTGTGTTTTCTTTCCCTCTTTGGTCTTAAGTCCCCTCCCCACCCCGTTCAGTTCTACAGTCAGTTTTCAAGAATTCTGTAGTCAACTTTAAGCTTATCTTTATCTGATTTTTATTTTAGCCTCTCTATGGTCCACATATTAGTGATACCATCCCATATTTATCTTTCTCTTAATTTCAATTATTGTAATGAGTGCCACATTCAGTTGTGTTTTTCAATCAAAATGTATCAGATACACCAATCTATTGACCACTAGATGTAAACAAACATGAATGTATTGAGAAATTATATTTGGTTGTTAAATATTTCTAGATTTTGTACTCAAAGGTATTTCAGAATGGCTCACAACACATAAAGGTGTTATAAAATATTCACTTTCCTTAAGAAATTAAAGCATAGTAAAAGATTGTTAAAGATTATTATTTTTTTCAAAAACAATTTCCTTTAGGTGGTCTGTTCTTTGCAAAGCCCATGCGTTCCAGGGGATACGTGACAATGTTAGACCCGTTTCAGCAGATCTACGGAAAGCGCATGGGTGGGCTCCTATTTATTCCTGCACTCATGGGCGAAATGTTCTGGGCAGCAGCCATTTTCTCGGCCCTAGGTAAGGACTAGAGAAAAAATTGTTCTAGCTGACTCTCTCTGCTTAGATCAGATGTTACTTGACTTTCTTTAGTCACAGGCCAGCCTACCCCCAACTTCCCTCGCTGGATTAATGCCTTCTCCCTGGTTGTAGTTCCACATGCTAGTCGAACTTATCCTTATAACCTGCAAATTTGATTTTGTCCTGTTACTGCTTAAAACAACACGAAAATTTAATGATGCTTATGACTGCAGTTTTGGTTCTCACTTCTCATCGTTTCCCATCCTCCTTCCTTTCAGATCTGTTATTCTTCACGTACAAATCTAAGTGCCTTCTGTTTTGGACTCACTTCCACTCCATCTTTCACATCCGCTACTTAACTAGGAAGTGTCATTCAAGTCCTCCTTTAGAAATCATTTACTCAGAGGAATCATCCTGAACATGCTAGATGTCTTACATATGGGCTTCCTTACGCATCTAAATTTTGTTCTTATTGGACCTAACATTCTGTATAATTATTTGCTTATTTACCTACTCCAAGTCCAATTTCTAACCTCACAAAAGATATTATACATTTTTTGAAGGCAGGTACGTGTGCCTTGTGAACGAATGAATGGATGAATCAATGATAGCTGTATTTTGTTCCAACAAGAAAAAAAAAATCTTCTGTTCTGAATGTAACCCCATCACTTAATAAAGTTTGGGTTGTGGATATGTTTTGAGAAATAGGAAATGAACTTGGAGACTTTAGGGACTTATTTACCACCAAGATCACTTAATGTTAAGGACAATCTGCCCTTGGCTTTTGGAATCTTCACCCACTTGTGAGATTTAGAAAACAAGAAATAGTAGGAGTCCTTCAGGCTCAATATGCTCCCTTTTGATCAAGGGAAATCTAAACCATCCACCGATGTTAACTTCCTATTTGAAGTTCAACACTAGTGGAAGTTCCACAACCTTCCTCAGTGAGCTTTGTCAATGTTTGGCATCAAGATGTCCATACATTTCACCCTCCACATATTTTACTCTCCACTTCTTACAAATGGAAATAAAAGGCTAACGTTTACAATTAGACTCTGATCAGAACACAAGTAATATAAAATTAATTCTCTTTTGTATGAAATATTCTAGACTACAAACTTGCTTTCTGTAATAGTGCTATCAGATCTGGCTTCTGTAACATCATAGTTATACTAACTTTTGCTCCTTTCTCTTTCATGTTCCTCTATAATCTTATATTTTCTTGAACTTCAACTGTAAAAAAAAGGAGAAGTATGATGAAGAGATTTTGATAGTTAGAAAATACTGTAACAAACTCACTAAAAATGTTGCTAGATAATAATTCTCTACAACTACTACTGCACTAGATCCCAATGAAATAGTATGTACAAATAAAGCTTCCTTCTAAACTTGTTCTCATTAGCTAAGAAGCAGTTGGTTTCAAAAGCAAAAATGTTCTTAAGAACAAGCTACCTGCTGATATGTAAAAAAAGAAGTGGGCTGAATATCTAACAGAATGTAAAATGTTCGTGCACTGAAGAAAAAAAAGTTGATTTATATAACAAAGCCCTGAAAGAATGCGATTAATAAACTAATATTTCTAGTGTATTCTAAATATGAAATATAATAGCTAAACTCAGAGCTTTACTGCAAATAGTTACATTTTGTGTGGGGGGGGTATATGTCTGTATGTATTTCAATATATATGTAAAGTGTATTTGTTTCTCCCTTTACAAAAGCACACATAAACATATGAAAACATTACTGCTGTTGCTGTTCCAAGCTCTGGTATTAAGACTGAATGTGTATTTTTATTTAACAACTATTTTTTTCAAAATAATACTTGGGCATAATTTAAAGTTATTGTTACTTGAAATAAATGGGTATATTTAAAACTAGACAAATGTCAGAACTATTGCAACTTGACTATGAATGTGCATAGGTACCACTGAAACATAGGAGATTCTTAAGCGATCTGGTCTAAACAGAAAACATCCTTACAGCTTTTTAAACAAATATATAATTGTGCTTCTAACAGTTCAGATTAAGTGAGTATTTATAACTTTATTTTTATAATGAATTAGTAGACTAATGTTCTATAGAAAAACTGGGAGTATAAAATTGATTTGATTCACTACAAATGAATGAATTATTTAAGACATAACTCAGAGGTAAAATTCATCTCAGTTTAATAATGATATAAAGCATGGGTGATTTCTTTAAAATCATGAGTTACAACCAACGGGCAGCAACTCCAAATCTTTAGGATTCCATTCAGTGATGTTTCTTCTATCACATATAGTCTCCTTACTTTTTTAAGATGGATGTAGTGGAAATTTAGATTTTTACTAATCTGTGAAAAATAAGACAAATTTCAAAAAATAAGGTATTTCATAATTCATAATATATAACTAAAATGTTAGGAAAATAAAGAATAATCAGAGAGATGAATGACAAAGATTTTCAGATAAATTTTCAACACAAAGGATATTATTACAGGGAAAATTGTGTTAAATACCAACACAACAATTGTTCAGTTATGCAAAGTCGCTTGTAAATAATTTATCTCTTTCCTTTTTCTTTGACCCCACAAGTCCTTGTCAAACTTTTCTTTTTATTAATTGGTTTTTACTTAATAAAGTAATTTCACTGTGTTATTAAAACACTAATAATTTTTTTAATTGGTACTGTCTATTTTTACTTTAGACCAAAATCTTATAATGCTCTTTGGGATAACTTGATTTTCATCTTCATTGGGTTACATACATTATTAGCATGCAATTGAGAAGTGATAGTAGAATGCAAGGTTTCAATTAATAATTCAAAAAATCATAGATATGCTAGCAAACATCATCACTGTATTGAAATATGAAATATAAACACTATAGCTTTTGTAAATGATGGGGTAAGGGTTTGTGAAGCAAGAAGTGAGTTCTGAACTGCCAGTTCAAAAGCTATAGTGATCCAACCATCCTTACCACTCACAACTCCACTGGAAATACAGACATCAACAAACTCAATAACAAAACCATAAGTTAGGAAAACATAACTTCGATTTCTAAGGCAGTTTTAAAATTCTGATGATAAGCCTACTTAAAACCATGATATTGAAATCTCAGAGCTCTTTAGTACATTAGCTCATAGGAATATGATTGGAATGATCTACCAATTAAAAAAAAATAAAAATGACTATTCACAGACCTGAAAGATAAAAAGTTGATAGATGGAATTTACTAATTTTATTTTCTCCTACAAATTTGTCCAAAACCTTGATACCTTATACTATCTGTCCTCTAAGAAAAGATAGAGGCATCAGAGTTAATGAAAATTAGCAAATAAATATGAATTGTAAAATGTGGAAATCGACAATGCTTATCAAATAGGCTTGCTGTTCTCATGGATGTGAGCAAATATATTGCCTATGTTTAGTTAAGTCAGAGTTTCAAGCAGGTGGCAGAATTATTCCAAGTTCTTATAATAGTATTATATTTATCATATTGCATGGAATGTTGTAATCACATCATATAATTTGGATGTGCTCACATAATTAAGTTAGCAAGCACTAATTTCAGAAAGGAGGAGTTTTTTTTAAAAACACATCAATTCTTACATAAATAAAAATATATATATGTATATGTATATGCATCTCCAATTTGTTGAACTATAAAACTTTCAACATAAAATTCACTCTACTATCATACAATATATTTCATATTTAATAGAGTAAAATATTTACTATCCCTGAACTTTCAACATATTTTTGCATAGGGTGCAGAAACCACTTCAGACCTTGACCACAGTGTCCTCTTTGCTTTTTAACAGGAGCCACTATCAGTGTGATCATTGACATTGATGTACATGCTTCTGTCATCGTTTCTGCACTCATCGCCATTCTGTATACCCTAGTAGGGGGCCTCTACTCCGTGGCCTATACTGATGTTGTTCAGCTCTTTTGTATTTTCATAGGACTGGTAAGTGAACCATTCACTGAGCTTTCTCTTCCTCACTTTCCCCTTCCCTCGCTCCCTTACTTTCTTCCTTTAACATCTCTGTTCTCTTTTTCTCTGTGCTCTCTCTCCAGCCTTTATCTTCCTTTATCTTCCTTTATTTCATATTCTTTTTATTCCTTATCCTATTGTAGAAGAGACTGAGACATTTTATAATAACTCGGTCAAAATTAATTTAAATATTACTTTCCATTATGAGTAATACACAGTAAAATATATACTATTTTTAAATTTTGATTTCTCTACAAGTTAATGGGATGAAAATCTCTAGTGTCTTTGTTAGATTTTGACAATGTATCTATCATCAGTTTACTTTTTAGAAAGCTTTGGATTTTCTTTTACTTCACATCAAAAAATTTACATGTGACCTTTTTTAAGTTTTGAAGACAACACACTTTTCTCAGATTGTGCTCATGGGACATAAAATTTGTCTTGTAGGAAAAAAATGTGGGTTTCACCTACTTGGGGCCTAAAATCAAACCCAAAAAAGGCTTAAATATATATGACTGGAAAGATTATTATGCATGACTTGTGTAAGTTAGGTAAAAAGTACTGCATAATTATGAGCAACTTTATGTGTCAACAATTTAGTCAGAGGTAAGCCTTTGCAAATTCACATCTTAAAATGTGAAAATGGGCCCTCCCTGGTGGCGCAGCGAGTTAAAGCACAGCACTGAGAATCTAAAGCCGCTTCCGCATGAGTTGGAATCCCGCCTGCCCCGGAGGTGACCACATGGCGTGGCAGACCTCTCCTGACCCGCCCGCTGCTCCCCTCAGCAGTGTACTTCGTCGATCTGCCTGTTCTGTTCCCCGCTCTGTCTCTGGTGAAGCCTCTCACCGCCCCCTGAGCCTCTGGCCTGTACCCCAGTTCTGTATGCACAAATAAATAAATCTTAAAAAAAATAAATAAAATTAAATAAGTAAATGTGAAAGTGTAGCTATACATATAATAATATTCAACACCAAAGATATACTAAAGGAAATATAAAATGGTGTGTCCACTCTGTGCTAAGAGCTGTAGTGGGCTTGCGCATACACTTTATCTCAGTAGTGTATCCTACAGGGACAACATGTGTGTACAAAGGCCAAGGACAGGGCAACCTAGGACTTACTTTCCCATAGATGATAGAAACACCCTGATTCACCTTCTTTTTCTTTATTTTAATAATAAAAAGCTATTCAAGTTTTATATTACAAATTTAGAAATGAAAACTGAAGAATCACACAAATGTTTTTGTTTTGTTACTTTCTATCATTTCTAATAATATATAGAAGGAAATTTTAAAAAACTGGCTACAATTAAAATTAGTTTAGTCAATTTATTTTTCTTTTTCTCCTAGACATTTTACTTATACTACTTGGAATTTCATTCTTTCACATTTTAGTTAAATTCAAGAATATTTAATTTACTCAAGCACTTCTACATTTTTGTTTTACATGAACAAAAACAAGTGGGCAGTACAGAAATTATGACTTTTCCCTAGTATCAGCATAAATTCCTAAAAAACATTTCTGTTCAGAGTGTTGGAGTCAAGGTTTGGTAATGACAGATCTCATAACTAATTTCTTGGTATTCTAAGAAAGACAATCTTGTGGGATAAGTCTGTTTATTGATGTTGTGGGGCAGGGAGATTTACATTTTCTAATTTTTATTTATTTTATTTTTAATTAAGTTATTTTTTTTTATTGAAATGATATCTGGATACCCCACCAAGTATTGCAATCAAAATACAACCAACATCCACAGTCCACCATTGTGGACTTCTTCCATTGTGCCTCCTTCCTTTTTTGATCTTACCTCTCCCCAAACTTCTGTCCACTCTGGATGCTCCAGTTCTATAGTCAGCTTTCAAGTGTTAGGTTTTAAGTTTATCTTTATATGACTCTTAGTTTAGTTACTCTACTCCTGGTTTTTCCACATTAGTGACACCATGTGGTATTTATCTTTCTCTGTCTGACTTAATACACTTAGTATTAACCCTTTTAGCTCTATGCATGTTGCCACAAATAGCATGAGTATATCTTTTATGATCACTGAGTAAATATCCATGTGTATATATACCACATCTTGATCCATTCATCTGTTTTGGGGCACACAGGTTGTTTCCATAATTGGGCTATAATAAATATCATTGCAATAAATACAGCTAGTTCCTTTTTCAAATAATGTTTCTGAATTTTTTGAGTACATGCCTTGGCATGGAATTACCAGGTTGAATGCAGATCCATTTTTTTTTTAAGCTTTATTTATTTATGCTTACAGAATTGGGGTGCAGGCCAAAGGTGTAGTAGATGAAAGGATTCTCCAGAGACAGAGTGGGGAGAAGAACAGGCAGACTGATAAAGTACACTGCTGAGGGGAGAAGCGGGTGGGTCAGGAAAGGTCTGCCACACCATGTGGGTCAGCTCCCTGCCCGGGGATTGAACTGCAGTGGCTGTAGTGCTGCAGTGGCTTCGGAGAGCTTCATAATGCAGTGCTTTAACCTTATGTTGCACCACCAGGGAGAGCCCTGGCAGATCCATTTTTAATGTTTTGAGACAACTCCTCTCTGCTTCCCCCAAAGTGCAGCACCAGTCTGCAATCCCACAAGCAATGCACAAACTTCACTTTACTCCATATCCTTGCCAACACGGATATATTACTAGTCTTTTCAACATGGGTCATCTTCACAGGTGTGGGATGGTATCTAACTAAAGCCCTATTAAGTAGTCTGAATACATGAATATGTTTTAATCAATTAATTTAACCACATCCTCTCAAGTTCTCTAATCTCATTTATTTTATCATCATTGTAATATAAGAGAGTTGAAACACTCTTCATAATACTTTTTTGTACCAAGATTTTTTTACCCACCAATTTTTTCATTAGCTTTTTCCTTGTAATTTTAATGAATGTATATCCTTTCCTAATTTAAATATTAAATGTGTGTGTGTCTAAATGTTCTAAAATCAGATGCTTTCTTCTCAAAGGTTTCTAGTGATTGCTCCTATCATTGATATGGCATGGTACAATAAAATATAGAAGTAGACATTGTGTTACCTTAATTTTTTAATTAGTATTTTATGGCATGGCATAGAGGTATGATTTCTACAAAAGAAATGACTGACCTTTGTGGTCAATAAAAAAAAATAGGTCAGCGAATCTCTCATATAGTAGACAGTTAAAAATCATAAACTAACCCTTTACTGTCACTTGTTGGTTACAGTGGATCAGTGTCCCTTTTGCACTATCACACCCTGCAGTTAGTGACATTGGGTTCACGGCTGTGCACGTCAAATACCAGAAGCCTTGGCTGGGTACCATTGAATCATCGGAAGTCTACACTTGGCTTGACAGTTTTCTGTTGTTGGTAAGTGATGCTTTTATCTGGAGAATGCAATCTAATGGTTCCCAAGTCAAATGCATTTTCAACATTGCAATGTTTATAAATTTCACTTACTGACTCATGTCCATCTCTGAATTGACTAAATTTTGTTGGAAGAATAGAGGCACTCACTGACTGTGTTGTGGTGACGGACTAGCATCAACATGGAGAACAAATGTGTGCTCAAAGGGACAACATCCTGGATTTATGTAAGATGTGCCTACATTGCTTTTGTGAACTAGTTAAGGAACACTGTGCCCCATTCCCAGTTACCTCCCCCCAATCTAAGAGCCCAGCCATCTGAAAGTTTTAATTTACACCAGATATAAGTGTATTAAAACTAGTTTCTTCTGAAAATAGTAACTCACTTAGTCACTAATCACCAAGTAAGTAAATTAGTATGTTAGCTGTTAGTTTATAGGATACATTGAGAAGGAGCTGTCACTCAAAAAATGCCAAGAATGAAGTTCTAGGAAGCAGTGTGGAAAGCAGGATCTTGGGGCAAAAGCATTGGCAGGGCCAGGAGGGAGGAGGGACGCAAAAGAAATTAAGACATTACAGTGTGGGAGAAGAGGAGAATACAAAATGAAATACCAGCATTTGTGATGTTAATAATTGGATGGGTTACATATAAAACACTGTTTTTGGCTTCACAGTAAGAAATAAATTATATTTAATGTCAACATTAACAGTAAATTATTTATTTTTGCTTCTTCTTTACAGGGGCCACATTTTGTGACTAGGCTTTGTGGTTTGATTCACTGCTAAATTTAGCACTAAAAGTAGTTGTGTCTGTACCCATAAAAAGTTTCTTGGTAAGGTAGAAACATAAAAACAAATGTTTCCTCTACAGGGTAGGAGAGCTTCTTTCCCAAAGATTATTAAGAAATGTGTTGACTGAAATTCTTCTGGAATGGTTCACTATTATGAACTGAGTGCAGAAACAAATTAAATATCATGTGTGTGTGTAACCATACCTGCCTGGAAGGTATTTTTATGTTTACATGGAGAAGATGAGATCCAGAAAAATTGAGCAATTTGTTGATAATCAGAGAATCAAGACCCCAACTTCATTTATCCTGCATTACACTTTAGTTTTCATATTTGATTTATAAACTATATGACTTAGAGATAGAGCATTGCACCTTTCATTTTACCTCATTTTAAAAAAAAAATTTGGAAACAGGGTTTTTTAATTAAATTGATATATATTTTGAATCATTATTCATTTTTTAGACAATGTTTACTTACCCTCCCACAGGTGTCCCCTCAGAATGTCCTCCCCAAATTCACCTGCACACCATCACGATAGTCCCCAGTGCTCCTCCCTCCCTTCTTTGACCCCTCCCCCATCCCTGCAGGATGTCTCTGGTTTATAATTGTCTGTTTGTTTTTGTTGTGTTGTGTTGTATTGTGTTATTATTTTTTCCCCTAAAGCAACCAAAAGTTATTTTATTTTAAAAACACCTAACGCTCCAAATTGCAATGACAGCCTCCAAATCATTCTGAAATGTTGTGGTTCTCATACAGACGCTGGGTGGAATCCCATGGCAAGCCTACTTCCAGAGGGTTCTCTCTTCATCCTCAGCTACCTATGCTCAAGTGCTGTCCATCCTTGCAGCTTTTGGGTGCTTAGTTATGGCTCTACCAGCCATACTTATTGGGGCTATTGGTGCATCGACAGGTAAATCTCTTGCAATTTTACTAATTAACTCATTCAGGTTATCAATTAGAATCCAGTTGTCCTCCCTCCCCCATTTTTCCTGTTACTCTTATGTAGTTAGAAAACATATCAGACCATACTTTGGGTGTGTGCGTTTGAAAACTGTGAACAGCAAAACAAATAGGAAAGCCTATTTTTTCTTTGAATTAGGTACACATTCTTGGTGGTTATTTCTGATATTGTAACATCTCAGATAATACTACAAAATTGGTTTCACCAAAGCATGACTTTGAGCAATTATGATGGAAAATGGGGAATGGTAGGATCCTATGTAAATCACTCCTATAATCAAGATAATACAGAAGTTAAACAAATAAAAAGGGAACTATACTAACATACATTTAGAGTTTGCATTGTATGCTTCAGCACATGCTAGTGAAATTAAACAGCCAAGAAGCTATGTATTCAAAGATAAATTTGTATTAAAATTCTTTTTATCACAGAGTACAAAAATACCCTGAAAATTTCAGCCTCAGAACTGTACTTTTTACTGAATGAAAAGAACCTGTCCTTGTCTAGCATGCCTCCCAATTCCAATAAATAAATGAGTTTATTGGAATTTAGCTGACAGAAAAATCATGCTGAGAAAGCCCCCAAGCTCATATCCAGGAAAAGGGTAGATGATAACCTACTCTGGTCTTAAGCCATCTATTCATGTATAACTGAGGAATGCAACAGCAAATGTCCTCTCACATCTCCCAAGAGTTGAAGAAATAACCTGATTCAATATAAAAACATTTGTTTCTATGACATTGCAGAAGAAAAAAAATATGTATCTCACTACCACATTCTATGGAGATCTCATGAATAAGACAAGATGTATCCAAAACAGATTAGAAGCCAGGACAATAAGAGACAATTTCACTTGACCAGTATATATGTATTTCCCACCTAATAAGGCTAACATACCTAATTAGACTAATTAAACATCCTGCCTGATTAGACTAATTCATACATTCTGAATTCACTCCAAAAGCTACCTAGTTAATAGGATGACACCCCCCACCCACCCACCCCAGAGGATAAATAACATATGGCTCTCTGGTTATTGTATGTTTGTTATTTCTATTCAACAGATTGGAACCAGACTACATATGGGTTTCCAGATCCCAAGACTAAAGAAGAAGCAGACATGATTTTACCAATTGTCCTGCAGTATCTTTGCCCTGTGTACATTTCTTTCTTTGGTCTTGGTGCAGTTTCTGCTGCTGTAATGTCATCAGCAGATTCTTCTATCTTATCAGCAAGTTCAATGTTTGCTCGAAATATATATCAGCTTTCATTCAGACAAAATGTAAGAACAATTTTCTTAAAACACAATTTATTATGATTGTTATTTTCATCATTTTATTTATTGTGTATGTACTATGCAGTATATGCTTATATTTATATAACATCTGACTTACTTTGATTAAGCACACAGGTTAAATAATGATGAATTTTATTTATTTTGGAAGTGAATTTTTTAATGCTGCTATTCATATTAATAATGAAAGAAACAAATCAATATAACTGCATCCCAAGATACGCAGTGTTATTGATATAATTTAAACTTCTACTTTTCTGAAAATGAGTAATGAAACCTAAAATATGTTAGAAAAACTTTGAGTTGCATTAAATATAAGAAACTTGAGAATGCTAGTAGAGGCAGAACATGGGAAGTTATTTCATGTATTTGTGTAACATCTGTCAGACTCTTCACTTTATCTACAAAATCTGTCTTTGTAAATTTGACTTTTTAATTTAAGTGAGTGGGTACAGAACAGCATAATATTGTGTTCACTATCAAGGGACAATTAGCCCCTCTACACCTTCCTCCTTGAATAAAACTTTGCCTTACATGGAGTTTTCTAGGTAATAGTTAGCAAAATTTGCTTTGTAAGATAATTAGCCATAAAGACATTAGGGCTCTGATGTTAGGACTATTTTGACACATGTAAAGTTTTATTATAGTATTATTCTTCTGTTATATAATGCAACTTCATCTGACCTTTGTTCCTTCAAGGGAAAGAAAAAAACCACTTTGCCCCTGCAAGTGGTTCACATAAACCTTCCCAAAGGCACTCAGGGCTGTCAGCTAGATAGCTTATTCTGAATAATTTTGCTTAGTCAATAGGTTGAACCATTAAAATCAGAGGAATTCTTAAGCCAGCTTTAAAACACAGAAATGCATCTCATTTTTCACTTACAGGAGTAAACTGGGTAAAAATCTGACATGATTGCAATTTCTTGCAGGCATCAGACAAGGAAATTATTTGGGTCATGAGAATCACGATATTTGTGTTTGGAGCTTCTGCAACAGCCATGGCCTTGCTAACAAAGACAGTGTATGGGCTCTGGTACCTCAGCTCAGACCTCGTGTACATCATCATCTTCCCACAGCTGCTCTGTGTGCTCTTCATCAAGGGAACCAATACATATGGAGCTGTGGCAGGTTATGTTTCTGGCCTATTCCTGCGAATAACTGGTGGGGAGCCATACCTGTACCTGCAGCCCTTAATCTTTTACCCTGGTTACTACCCTGATAAGGATGGTATATATAATCAGAAGTTCCCATTTAAAACCCTAGCTATGGTTACCTCATTTTTATCCAACATTTGTTTTTCTTATCTAGCCAAATATCTATTTGAAAGTGGAACCTTGCCACCAAAACTAGATGTATTTGATGCTGTTGTTGCAAGGCACAGTGAAGAAAACATGGATAAGACAATTCTAGTCAAAAACGAAAATATTAAATTAGATGAACTTGCACCTGTGAAGCCTCGACAGAGCATAACTCTCAGCTCAACTTTTACCAATAAAGAGGCCTTTCTTGATGTTGATTCCAGTCCAGAAGGATCTGGGACTGAAGATAATTTATAATGACCACATCTAAATAAATTACTGCTTTCTCAAACAGGCACTATAACTGGCTAGCCCTGGAAGAATGATTTGAAGCATATAAAAATATATTTAAAATACAGACAACATTCAGGAGGACAAAAGTCCATATAAAGTACAATCGCACAGATACAAGCCAAGCTAGAAGGAAAAAACTATGAAAGCAACAACTTTTTCACTCATCAATATTTTTCATCCTCATTTGATTCTGACTCCAGATAGTTTTACCAAGTACCCCAAATTATTAAAGCTCCACTCAAACAACAGGCCACCAAATGGAGTATTTACCTTTTTATTATGATAAAGTATATATGACAGCACTTAGGGAATTGAATAATCTTACTCCAAACTTTGCTAATGTACAGGTGAGTCTTGTTTAATTATCATACCAAAGCTGTAAGAATCACTCATTGTCACTCCAATGAATGCTACAGTTATTAAACAGATGATTGTCTTGATGTGATGAATAACCCTTCCATTCATGTTCCTATCTATAACATTTGCTAAATATGCAATTGTTTTTCTTTTAGTGGTAACAGGCATTAATCTGAGCAAGAGACAAAGCAAATCCAGTAAATATATGGCAACATTTCTTTATGGGCAAAGTGATAGGAAAATAGGACCCATCTTTGGTCTGCATTGAGTGTGTATATATCTGCCATATACATTGAGACTTTTACCTGGAGCAGAAAGGCATGATTATTAGCAAGCTTATAGCAATAAATCTAGTAGTCCATTAAGCAGAAAGTGAAGAACAGTAAGTTTTCATCTTCCTTTGAAGTTTATGAAATTTTGCCTCATGATAAAGAAAGGTAACATCTTGGTTTACTATTCAAATTAGTATTGGAAGTGAAAACAAGCCATATGAAAGGTAAGGTGGTTACATAGTACCAATTAAGGTTAATGAGAAACTGCACTCATGTAAAACTGATTAAATAAAAGTCAACTTTGCAAATTCATCAAAATTTAGTAATTAGTGTCAAGAGAGTGGACTGTGATACTTTCCTGCATAAGCTAGTCTTAGACTCTAGGTGAATCACCACTATAAAATGTATATAATGAATTCTAAAATGAAGAAGTAGAAATACATCCTAAAAGGGAAGAAGCCATCAATTTTACACTTGGTGTTTACTTAATTTTCATGAGATTGGTCATTAACTATTATTTTATTCCTTTTCTGGAGTTGAAGAAAGAAAGAGAGAGAGAGAGAGAGAGAGAGAGAGAGAGAGAGAGAGAGGGAGAGCATGTGTGTAATGGCTGGTATCCATTTTGGAATTTAAAATGTTTTCCCTACCAGTTAAATATTAGAAATAATAAGAGTTGTGTCTATAAAAGCATAGTGAACCGATGAGCTGACAAAATTATCTAAGCACTGAATCAGTTAAGAAAGTTTGAAAGTTATTCAAACTAAAGCACTCTTTCCAAAAATATTTGCTTTTTTAAGATTCAGAGACAAAGTGACATTAACTTTCTATGTAATATTAAGTATAAAAGTTGTACATCTAGAATTTATTTTTATTTTTTAAATTATAATTATCTAAGAGTATCAGATAAATCTCTGCTATTAAATATGAATTAAATTTACAGGATAATTTTCAAAATATAAAATTAAATAATTTCACATATTATAACTCCTGTATTTTAATGCTTTATCAAAACTCGATGGTGAATATGACATTGCACTTGAAAACTTTACACACCTTTATCTATACTTAAATGAAGAAAGAATTATTTTTCCTTGATGCCTAGTTTCCTATGGAGTATTTAGAAAGAGCACATTTTTGGAACCAGTATGTGTGGGTTCCAAGATTTTCAAACATGGATTGAAAGAATAGCCAGAGGAAATACATTTTTAAAAAACTGAAATATAAATATTCCATATGTAAAAATAATTAATTAAGACAGACTACAGTTCCTGAAAAACATGTATCAGATTTGTCTTACTTTTCAGCACATTACCCAAGTAATGACTTTTATCCACTCCACCATAAAGTTTCTTCAACCTATTTACAACATGCCTTCATAGAAATATATCACCCATATGATAATAGAAGACAATGAGGAAGCAAAATCTCCTTACAGACATTATATAATTTTGTTGGGGCAACAATTGTCTAAACAAATAAACATATTTCAACTCAGCAAAAAAGAATAAATATTAAAAGTGAAGATTTTCCAATTCCAGTCACTTTGTCTTAATAGAAAGATAGATAATGAAGTTTACCTTTTCCAAAATAATGACTAGATAAGTAATTTAAGACTACTAGTAATGTTGTATTTTTATTTAACCATAATTTTCCAACTACTCTAAAACTAGACATATAAAAAAGTTATGTTGGTAAAAGTCCACTAACATGATAGATATTAGCAGAATGGTTTAAGTACAAAAATAGTTGAAAATCAAAAAGAATGAAACAGGGATCACAGGGTCCTTATGCATTACACACAAATTTCCAAAGAAAGGTCAAGTTGTAAAATGTGGGGGCAACCACTTGCTGTTTTGACATCGTGGGTAATGTGGCTATGCTCAGTGGGCCTAATTTTCAAAACCCATTCCTGATGAAAATAAAGCAATGGAAACATTTTTAAGCATTGACTATTTAACCTTTCCAGGCAATACCTGTGGATAAAGAATGAAAAGAAAACTTTTATTTTCATATTTTTATAATAATAATAACATGTTTCTTGGGTAATTTTGCTTTTTCGCACATCTTTCAGAACATGAAGCTTGTATCTGAGCTAAAAATCAACAAGCTTTCAAATAGTATCAACATCCAACTTCACTTATTATAAGTAATAAATTTTATGTGAATATCAAATGAATGTAAGCTTGAAATAAGTGAATCTACTATAATGGCTTTTAGCTTTTTTATTTGGAAATAATGTATTAGCATTGTCTTTTAAAACACAAACTGTGACTTTTCCTTTTTAGTCTTCAAGAAAAATTACTCAGTATGATGTGTAAGTTTGCTACTGAACAGATACATATAGCAACTCTAAAACATATATTTTTGTCTGTCAAAATATATAAATTATGCTTAAAATAAGTTGACATGCAACTATACTTGTAAATGTTTTAAATGTAATGGTATTACATTAAACTGTGCTGGTGCAATTCAGGATATCATTGTCTAGGTTTGGCTTTCTGGGACTCTTTCATACTAAATATAAATGGTGCTTTAAAACAATTCAGCAATGGAATTGAAATCAACTATATCATTGCTAGAACAAATGCAAATGACAAATAGAGATATTGGTCCTCATATAAATCTTGGGTCAATATATGACATCATATCTCAAAAAATGCAAATTATTTTTCTTGGAAAAGAAGTTTTGTTACTGTACATAGGTATTCCTTTTAATCCAATAGGTAAATAATATAATATCTCTTCAACTAATATAAAATATCCATTACTACTTTAAAATTCAAATAGATGTTTGTTCATTTCTTTAACTGTTGGCAGGGTCTGCACATAGTCACTAAGTGAAAAACTAGTTTATATCATGCTCTAAGATATACAGATATACAGATATACTTCATATTTTTTACCTTGCTCTCTCACCATCCTCAAAAGGACTTTGGCCTCCTATACTTTAATCACAAGCATTAGTGCTTTGGGATATACATTGGAAGTATGCTTATAAATGAATGAAGGAAAAACAAGTAATTGTATTTTATCATACCATTATGCACTATTATATATACATTTCTAGAAAAAGTAATTTACCACAACATATTTGTCACAAATCTATAGGGGAAATTAGTAGAAATTAGAAAAGAATATATAAAGAAAGTAGTATTGGAGACTTAAAATTTCTTCATTGTAATTATTTTGTTTAGACTGATGATTTGATCATTAATGTTCTCTTATGGCTGGTATTCTGAAAGAAGCTAAGTAAGCTTTAGGGAAATTATAAATGACTATCTTCACATTTTATACACTCACTAAAGGAGAGCACCGAAATAGTCATTTCATGTTATTTATAAAGTATCTAATATCAAAGAAAGAATGCATAGTAAGTTTAATTTTTTGTTAGAAAACTATAGCTATCTACTTAATACAAGTAGACACATTGTATATTCTGAAGTTGAAATTCTCAGTTGGTTTATTAATTTTTTATCTAGTAGAAGTTAAAATAGGACTAAGACCTAATGACAGAGTTTAAAGAAGTGAGAAAGGAGTAACTGAAAACAGCGCCAGTTGTTCGAGGAAATACAGCTGAAGAGAGCCATCACATAAGAATGCATCTAAGAATCACACGGGTCTTTTGGTCCTAAGATAAACTAGCTTAGAGAAGTACTGAAACTCTCTGGGATCTCCATTTCACTAGGTAAATTTCTGATTTAGATAATCCTTAAGGTATTTTATGTCCCTAAACTTTTATTACATTCTTATTTGCAAACCCAGTGAGGAAACTATAGCATTACAGAAGACATGAGTGGGACTGTGAGAAAGAGTTCCAAACTTGAGAGATCCTCAAGTGGACGGTCCAAATAGCCCAGTCACTTTCATGTCTGGAGCTCCACTTTCCCAAACTGGGATTGTATTTACCTATCATTTGACTGAAATTCTGTGACTACATGGTAGAACAAACTTTGAAAGTATAGAAACATAGAGTTATAAATACAGTTCCCCACCTGGGTAAATTATGAAGAAATATATCTAACTAATGAGCAGATCATTTTGAATTTGAATCTTATTTTGTATGCAGTTAGTTTTAAGTATGGATTCTAAATTAGGAATAAATAAAGAAAAGTTTTAAAGTAAAGCTATAGTTCACATTTGCTTTATTTGACTTTTCAAGGACCTAATTTAATAGAATTTTACCTCAGCTCTATGGGCACACAAACTGTGGTCCATGTATCAACAGGGATTTAAGAAGGAGTGGTTAAGTCACTAGGAAAGTTTACAACATTATTTATGTTGGAATTTTAAGGCATGATTACCAAGAGTACTTTGTGCTAAGATTAGAAAGGTTTG